CCACCAGTCTGTCTCTGCCTACCTGTTTGTCTGTATGTTCTCTTTAGTGATGAGATCACAGGCCTGCACCACCATGCCTGGCAAGAGTGAGCATATTTTAAAATTGTTCATCACACCAGGGCATGGTGATTTGATACACCGGAGAGGCATAGGCAGGCAGATACCTTTGAATTCTAGGCCAGCCTAGTCTACATAGCGAGTTCCAGAACAGCCTGGGCTACATAGTGAAACCCTGTCTCAAAACAAAACAAAAATTCCCCACCATAGAACAACTGCTGTGTGGATCAAACTGAGAAAGTCTGGAAAGGGCGGGAGAGCAGACTGGCCCATCACAGGCCGGCTGCGGATCCTGAGGGCCGCTTAGCAAATGACAGCAGGAGAGAAAGTGACATTTTGGTTTTGGAGCACAAATGTAAACAGCTTGGTGCCCCCCGGCGCTGACATTCAGCGTTTCTGACCCATCCCTTGGTATTTGTGGTTTGGGGCTCCTCTCCTTCCAGCCCCCACCCCCCACTCCACCCCCACCCTCCCCAACCCACCCCCACCCCTGCTCTGCCAGCTTTTCCATCCCGAGGCCTTTCCCCTTTCTCCGCGTTCCGTCTAGGTCACCTGCGCTGCAGCGCCCCCCAGTGGTTTTCTTGTTCGTTGCTATAGCTTGGAAATTTATGGAAGACGGATGAAGTCTGTATCAACACAGAGGTTTGCCTAGGGCCCAGAACCCAAGAGTGCGTTCAGGGAGCCATGCTAGACCCCCCCACCCTCATTTTGGAAAAGTGATATGGAAGGAGCTCTGAGTGGGAAGTGCCTCATCTGCAAATCTTTTTTTTTTTTTTCAAGACAGGGTTTCTCTGTAGCTTTGGAGCCTGTCCTGGCACTCACTCTGTGGACCAGGCTGGCCCTGAATTCAGAGATCCGCCTGCTTCTGCCTCCCAATGCGGGGAATAAAGGCATGCATCAACACTGCTCAGCTTCATCTGCAAATCTTGAACTCACCTAAACCTACTTGAAGTTGTACTCCCTCCCACTCCACTCAGGAGGAGGCTTACATAGAGCTCCTCCCAGCTCTATGTACAGCGCACACGGAGCCTGCCTTGGAAGACTACAGGCTCTCCCTCTTGCGGGAGCACTTGAAGAGAGCACGCTCCTCACACACCTCTCAGAGCTCAATCAGAGTCCTGCCCCGTGCAAAGTCTTAGTAACTCTCCGTGAAATGGATTAGGAGGCGGGACTCAGAGATCCCCAGCCACACATCAGAAAGCCACAGAGGAAGCTGATGCTAGCGGAGTTACCACCCACACCAACTCCAGGCCCCTCATCCTTGTGGGAGGGAACTCGGCCAAGGGAAGGCGGGTGGGATGGGGAGTCAACATTGCAAGAGCTCAGAGGACAGAGCTTGGCTTCCTCTTACCGGCTGAGAGGAGTTGTCGCCTCCCGGCCCCACCCCCTGGTGGCCCATCCCTTGCCAGCCCAATCAGTCAATGTCCTTTGGCTTTGGAGTTCACAGTTTTCAAATCACAGACTGGAGGGAGTCCTCTGAGGATGCTTTTTTCCCAATCAACTCCTAAAACTGAAGTTGCCTTTTGGCTTCGGGTGCTTCTATGGGTCACGGCTACAACTGGGGGAGAGCTCTCACAGTGTAATACTTTAGAGATAGCCAGTTAAGAAACTGGAATTCTCAGGAAACAAAGTCCTGGGAAAGGGGGGATGGGCACGCATTGTTGGGGACTCAGAAGGAGGTCTCCGAGGGACCACCCTCAGTCAGTTCTGAGCCCTTCTGCTTCCAACTTCTGCTTCCAACTTTAGCACCTACATCTCACCTTATCCTCTGGTCTGGAAGGAGAGCTCTCAGGTCTAAGCCTTTGACTGCAGCCAGCCCAAGCTGTTTTTCACTGGACCGCCTCCTCAGCGGCCTTTGTCTGGGGGTCTTTTTGTCTGGGGTCTCTTTGTCTAGGAGACCCCCTTTGGTCCAGTTTCCCAGTTCTCAGTCTCTCCTCTCTTTCTCTGGGTTAGGCTGTCCCCTCCCTCTCTGCGGGGGCTGAGAGGCTCAGCTAGGGGAGCGGGGCTGGGTTGCCATGGTCACCTTGAAGCCAGCCGCAGCTGGCCAGGGCAGCTGCTCTCGGGCCCCCGAGGCTGGAGTTTGGACAAAGCCAGGAGGCTTCATCGGCCTCAGATCTGGATCCCCAAAAGCCTGAGCCTAGGGACACTGAAACTCAGAAGAACGTGGAGGTGAGAGGGAGGGAATCAACTCACCCTGGAGAGCAGCAGCGGACCTTGGGGCTGGGCTGCCTTTATGAGGAGGGGCCAGGTAGGCCTGGAGGCGTGGTGGGAGAGGAGAAGGATGGAGGCCCTGTGGCAAAACAGGTTGGCCAGCTGGCAGGATGGGTTCAGTTCTATCCCTGGGCCTTCCATCTATCTTGAGTTTGTCTTTCCTTTCTAAGTCTGCCCCCCCTTCCGTGTCTTCCTTCCTTCCTTTCTCCATATCTCAATCTCTACCTCCCCCTCAGATCTTAATTTCATTCCAACCTCCTTTCTGTTTTCCATTTTGCTGTTCCAAGTCCCCAACATTTGCCTTCCTTCTGCATCCAATCAGCCTCCATTCCATCCTTTCTCCTCCCTCTTTCTCCCATCTTTCACTTTGTCTTACTTCCCTCTCTGGAGTCAGTTGTGTCTCTCCATAACCACCAGTCTCTCTCCTCTGGTCTTCCATCCCTTCTGGGCCTCTTTCCCAGACTATCCATGGCTAATTTTTCTCATTTTCTGTCCTAGATTTATGCTTTCATGTCCTAGATTTATCTTCCTTTATTATCATACTCCAGGTCTCAGTTTCACATTTGAACTCAGTGGCTGTAAAACATGACCTATGACCAGGGTCTTTTCCAACTACACCCCCCCCCCATCACCACCAGAGGCGGCTCACTCTCCCCAGCTGCTGACCCAACCTACTTCCCTAGAGGCAGCTGCATCTCAGGACAAGGACTGTGGTTAGTGTGTGTTGAGGGCCGTGAGGGTAGGCCCATCTGATTCTCCCCCCTCTCGCTCCTGTCCTGTCCTGCTTCCCAGCAGTGGCGGGTGGTCTGCAGGCCTGTGGCTGAGCTCTTATTTCTCTTGTGTGTTTCTCTTCACATTTCCCCCCAGCTGTTTCCCCTCTCCTCCCTGGGCTTTCAGGGGGGAAAATCAGTCCAGCATAGGGGAGACCCGTTCCTGGATTCTAGGGTATAGTGCGGGCTTCTGGAGTTGTGAGTAGTGAGAGAGAGGAGCATGGGGCTTGGGGAGCCACAGACAGGCACGATCTTGGTTCTTGGCTCAGCTCTGTAGGCCCGTGGATGGTTGGGATTTCCCTCTCTGGCCCCTGGGAATCTGGGCTCCAAGCAGCACATTCCAGCCGGCTCCAGCTCCTTTTCTGCTGTCACTTGACTCCGCTGGGCCCCAGCCTTGTGTCCCTCCTACTTCTCCAGCCCTGGTCTGGGTCGAGGTGGGCATCACCGACTAGGAATTTTCCCTGAGAGAGTGAAAAGGGGGCAGAGGCTTCAAGACTCTGCCTTCCTCCACACCTCCCATGGACCCTTCACTGGTCAGTGTGAGTCTGGGACGTGCAAAGTCCCACTGGGTGTGAGAAGCTGAAGCTCCGCCTGTCCGGGGCTTCCCCAGAGTGTCTCTCCTGGGAGGAAGGCCCCTTGCCGTGGCAGGTGAGGTTACTGGGAAGCCTTGGCCCCACCCCCAGCCGGACTCCACACCCCGCCCAGCCTCTGCAGGGCCCTGATTTCCTTTTGCTGTGTGCAGAGGGGTAGGTAATTGGGTGTGTGTGTGGGGGGGGGTCCCTAAGGGCTCGATGGACAGGCTGGAGGCAGTTTTCCCAGTGACCATAGGGGCTATTAACAAGTCCTTCAGCATCTGGAGCTTCCCTGGGTTTGTAAACTGGAGACCCAGCCTGCCTCGGTTTCTCCCTCGGGGCCGCGAATCTTCCTGGTAGCTTTTTTTCCTGTTCTTGCCTGGTTTTTCTTGACACTTTGGAAATGCTTCTGGGTGTGAGTTTTGAATCATTTGGGAGGTGCTACAGAGTGGTGAGGCCAGCGAGGTTGCTGGAGACTTTACTGTGACCTGACATTGTCCGGGACTTGGCAGGTGTGTGGGGTGTGGAGAGAGGTAGGACTTACAGGTGGTGCTGAATGGGGTCAGAGCACCTCCCACACAAGCTCTGCTGCCGCGAGCCCCCCCCCCCAATCTCTCCCTTCTGTGGCTCAGCAGCTCTTGCTGCTCCCTGGATCTGCGTTCCCGTCTTCCATTTTGCGCCTCTTCTTGCCAGAAACCCAGACTCTGCTCCCACCAGGGACTGAGCTGGCTGGGAACTGAGGAAGGCTTGCTAAGGAGAACTCCAGAGCGAGCCTGGATGGAGCAGGGAGCCCAGAGGGACTCAGAGCCTGGAAGTCTGGACTTCGGGGCTCCTGAGAGAACAGGAGGGCGCTGCAAAGTTGGGGAGGGGTTCTGGAAGAAGGGGACAGAAAGAAGTGGAGACTAAAAGTGTGACCCGTCCTCAGGCTCCGGGGTAATCTAGGTTGGAAGCCGGTGGGAGGGGGGGGGAGGAGTTGCCAAATGTAGCAAGGTGGAGGTGAAAGCCAAGCGGGTCTGGCTAGACAGGTGAGCCCGGCTCCCTTCCCCCAACCGGGCTCCGGCTCCGGTGCTGGGCCTGTGGGAACCCGCTGCTTCCTGCGTGCCCTGGGGCTGCTCCTCCGTGCTTCTCTCCCTCTCTCTCCAGGAACCGAGCCCAGAAAAAGGGGAGGAGGGAACGCGCCATCTCCTCGCGGGGCCACTGCGTTGGGGTTCTGGGCGAGCTGTAGCGGGGCCCCTGCTGTATTGTAGCCTCGGGGCGGCGGGGGATGGGCGTGCGGATCACCTAGGGGAGACTAGGCGCGAAGGGGGACCTGCGGGGCGGGCTCCGCGTTAGGAGAGAAACGAGGGGCGGCGCTGGGCGTGGGAGAGCGGGCGCCGGGGCGGGAGGACGGGCGGGGGACGAGCGTGGGGAGGCGGCGCCTGGGCGCGATCCGGCCCGGCGCTGGCTCCTCTCCCCGGAACAGGCCCCCGACAGCTGCTCGCGGGAGCCGCCTCCCGACACCCGAGCCCCGCCGGCGCCTGCGCTCCCCTCCCGCGCCCCGCCGCCGAGGAGGCCCCAAGCCGGGGCCGGACGCCTGAGTCGGCCCCGGAGAGCGATGAGAGGTAGGGGGCGAGGCGATGGGGGGTGGCGCGCAGGAGGCAGGGGGCGCGGGTTGGGGAGCCTCAGCTCTGTGCGCCGCCTTAGGCTTTTGATTCCGCATCCAAAACAGAGAGGGCCCTGACTTTCCGAAAAAAGTATCTTCTCGTAAGGAAGGATCTGTCTTTTCCTGGGTGAGGGGAGAAACCGAGCCCCAAGAGGACAGGTGCGCATATGTAGCCCACTGAGTCATCCTATCGGTGTTCTCTGGGCAGTGCCCACGAGCATGCTCTGTTAAGCTGCCCCGCCAAAGGGAGCCAGTCTGACGCCCAACCTACCAGACCAGCCACGCTCGGTGGTTGCCGGGTTGTGCCAAGAGACAAGTCACCACCCAATGAGCAACGCTCCCAGGGTCCCCTTCTGGCCGGGCATTCCTGCCCAGCACCTTCTCCCAGCCACCGCCCGGCTGGCCTGGAACTGACTGGCTGAGAGGATGGAGGTGTGTCCAGACCCTAGCGGCACTGTAGGGACAGGTCACAGAATGCGTAAGAAAGCGAGAAATGGCCTTGTCCTTCTTGCCACTTTTCCTAACCTAGTCCCATCTGTCCCCACCTGCTCTTGACTTCCCTCAGGCTTAGTCACCATGTGTGCTTGGGAGGAGCAGTTCTCTGGGGATCCTGTACCCAGGGCCCGAGTGGGTTTCACATTGCCTGACATTTGGTATTCACAGGTGTCTAGAAGTGGCAACTCACTAAATGGTGAGATCTGGCTCTATAGGTCACCTCGAGGTGTGTGGCACACTCCTGTAATCACTGACAGGTGGAGGCCGCAGGATCAAAAATTAAAGGTCAGCCTTTAAATCTTGGTATCATTGTGAGTTTGGAGGCTTGAACTACTTGACACCTTGTCTCAAAAATCCAACCATCCTTCTATAGAGGAACATGACTTTCATCCCAGCACTCGTGAGAGAGGGGCGCCCCCTGAATTCCAGGTCAGCCTGGTCTACATAGCTAGTTCCAGGCCCACCAAGGCTACATAGCGAGACCCTGTCTCAAAAGAACCAAAACAACAACAAAAATCTCCCCAACTAACCAACCCTTTCCCCACCTCAAAAACATAAATGGCTGGACGGTCCCAGCACACAGGAGGCAGAGACGGGTGGATCTCTGTGAGTTTGAGGCCAGCCTGGTCTACAGAGTGAGTTCTGTTACACAGAGAAACTGTCTCGAAAAAAAACAAAACAAAAACCGTAAAGCAATCAAATACAAACAACAAAAGATGCCAAGATGTGTATGGAGTGAGTAAGAATTGTGTGTGAGCTGGTCTTGGTGGGACATAGGATATGCCCAAGAGGCAGGGGGATTAGGAGTTAAAAAGAAGAAAGGTAATAATACGCTCGTGAGAGACCATAAGGCTCCCAGAGGTATGAGCATGGTACATTTGGTTTACTCTAGTGTTTACAGAGGGCTTGTAAAGTTTTATTCTACCTCCCTGTGTGTGTGCATGTGGAGTTGTGTGCTGTTGTTCTCTGGATTGGGAGATGGTGTTTAGGAGAGGACAAAGAAAGGCCTGAAGCAGAGTTACCTGACCCTTGACTTGTGATGGGTTGAAGAGGGGCCAGGTAGGGTGCCAATGAGGTGAAACTCCTAAGCCTATCTGATTGTGGGAATCAAGACCTAGGGGACAATGAGAAAGGGACAGCCCCAGACCTTGTCAGTTATGCTTCAACAGCTCCTCTGCTTGGCCCGGTGCCCTGCTTTTGGAGCCTGCTCTGTTTACCTCCAGCTTTGTGTTTCTGCCCTGTCTCCCCCAGCCTCCTGTCCCTGCCTGGCTTTGTATCTCTGCCCCAGGCTCCTCTCAGCACTGTCTGGCTCCGATGAGTCATCTGGGATAGGCATGAAGGTTACTCAGGGGAACAAGGGCCCTGCTGTTTCTACAGAGGTGGGGGTGGAGAGTGGCACCCAGGAATTCCCTGCCAGGCTTCCCAGTCCCAGCGGCCTGCTCCCCTCTACCATGGAGCTGTACCCGCAAGGGACTGGTCGTGGTGCCTTTTGGATCTAGGCTCTCTTTTGATAGCTAAATGGCCTCTGGCAATCCAGTCAGCCCTTTCAGCTGCTGCTTCAGTGATGGGGGGTTCTCAGCTGCCTCTTACATTCCTGCCCTAGAGCATTGTGGGAGCAGCTGGAGGACAAAGGGATGGGGGAGACTCCCCCAACTCCTCCTACCTCCTGGGGTGACCTGGCTTCCCCTGTAGTTAAGCCCGCCCTCATCTCCAAGGCAACTCAGCCTTCTCAGAGCAAGGCTCTTCTGCTACCTACCTTCAGTAAGTTGGGGCTTTGGGGAACAGGATGTCAAAGGCAGAGGAAGGAGAGCTGGGGGGACCTGGTGGCAGGGGTGTGAAAAGGGCAGTAGGTAGTATCCCTTGGGATTCTAGGACCTTTAGAATTCAGTACAGTTCTCAGGCACTACCAGGTGTCAGGAGAGCTTTTCTGTCCCCAGGACAGAGGACAGTAGATCCCTGGATTTATATAGAAACTTCAGCTGGAATGGTTTTGGAGAGGGTAAACTGCCCATACCCCAAAAGGAACAGAGGAAGCAGTTCTATGGGGCCTCTGACAGAGGGTCCAGATGGGGTTCCAAGTCTCTGCCAAGTGTCAGAGGATGTCCAGTCTGCTGTTCTGGCTACCACAGTGGGATAGGGAATCGCAGAGGACCATGAAGTTGGTTGGATATTGATGTCCTTAGAGGTTTGAGGGGCTCAGGCAAGTTGGTGTTTCTATTGTATTTTCCTCAATAAGGCAGGTAAACTTCTCCAGGACTTAGGTTTTGAAAACCAGAGTAAGTTTTACATTGGCTTGAGTGTTATAAGATTTTATGTAAATGCATGCTACTGCCTCACAAGTTTTTACAGAGTACTAACCCAGCCAATCTTACTGCTTTTCGAGTGTGCTTCCCTCTCTTGCCCTGTTCGTGGCCTTGCACAGCCTCACTAGGTGTACAGGTGAGAGTGTGAACAGATGTAGGTTTGTTTATCCTTTGCTTTCATGTGGTGGATTAATTCTCATACTTTCTGAGTGTGGCTTTCCATGTTAAGCCCAGTGGCATGGGGAACACATTTTAAAGAAAGGCAGGGTGTGGTGGCACACACTGGCAATTCACTTAAAAGGTAAATGCCAGCTTGGGCTATTTGAGACTCTGAATCAAACACCAAAAAAAAAAAAAAAAAAAAGTAGGGAACACATGCCAAGTTAGATTCACACTAATTTTTCTTTAATTTAATTTTTATGTGTGTGTGTATTTATGTCTCTCTATATTTTTAATTTTCTATTTCTGAGTGTTTTGTCTGTATGTATGTCTGTGTGTGTGTGTGTGTGTGTGTGTGTGTTTGTGTGCATGTGCGCGCGCGCGCCTAGAACCCACGAAGCTAGGAAGAAAGCATTGGATTCCCTGAAATTGGAGTTATGGATGAGTCATGACTCAGATGCTAAGTGTGGATGCTAAGAACTGAACCTGGGTCCTCTGCAAGAGCAACAAATACTCTTTACTGCTTTTCTTTAAAATGTGTTTCTTATTTCTTATGTATAGTGTTTGGGCTTACATGTATGTCTGTGTATCACAGACATGCATGGTGCCCTTGGAGGCCAGAAGTGAGCATGGGATGCCCTAGGACTTGAGTTATAGATAGTTGTGAACTGACATGTTAGTGCTGGGAACCTAACTTGGCTCCTCTGGAACAGCAGCCAGTACTCTTAACTGCTGAGCTGTCTCTCCTTTCTTTTAAATAAATAAATAAATACATTTATTTGTGTGTGTGAGGTCATAGGATGGCTGGTAGTGGGGATCACACCTTTAATCCCAGCACACAGGAGGCAGAAGCAGGTGGATCTCTGAGTTTAAAGCCACCATGGTCTACACAGTTTCAGGACAGCCAGTGCTATGTACAGAAACTCTGTCTCAAAAAGAAACAAATAAAAAATGGTCAGTGTTCACCTTCCACTCTGGATCTCTCCTCCCACCCATGAGTTCCAAGGATAGAACTTAGGTCCTCAAGCTTGGAGCCAAGTGCCTTTACTTCTGAGTCATCTCTCTGGCCCTTTACTTTTTTCTCTTTTCATAACTACATAGAAGCTTAACCACTACCACCCCACTCCAAACCCCCAGAACATCCCCTGTGAGCATTCACATAGTGTAGGGATGGACATGTGGGACAGTTCTGAGATCTTACTTCCTTACACTTCTCCAATTTCCTGTGTTTGAATCTTTTGCCATGATCATATTGCTAGATTGCTTTCCAAGTATATTCTGATACTGTAATAGCACGTCCCCCCCCAATGGTGGCTTTCCTTTTGTCCCTTTTCCCATGGAAGATATAACATTTAAAAATACTTTGTTGGGGCTGGAGAGATGGCTCAGTGGTTAAGAGCATTCACTGCTCTTGCAGTGGACCCATCATCCACATCCTGACCACTCACAACCATCTGTAACTCAAGTTCTAGGAGTTCTGCCTCCCTCTTCTGGCCCCTTCAGGTACTGCATACATGTGGTGTACATACACATGCAGGCAAACACTAATATGTATAAATATTTAAAAACTTAAATCTTAAAAAATACTTTGTCAAATTAAGCATGTCAAGTGTGTATCTCTAATTCCAGCATATTGAGATATTGAGGCAGGAAGATTTTTGCAAGTTCAAGATCAGCCTTAAGCTACATAATAAGCTTGAGGCCAGCTTGGGCTACACTGTAAGACCTGGTCTGAAAGAACAAAACATTTCTCTGTCAGTCTGATTTGTATTATTCTAGTTCTAGTGAACGTGGTGATTTTTAAAGACAATATATTTTAGACATGTTGGCTCTGTTCTTTGAGAAGGTCTGTATCTGGTGTCTTTGTGTGTTAAATATGGATCATAACATCTACCTTATAAAGTGGCTGACCATAAAGTTATGTTCAGTGCCTGTGCTGTGTAGGAGGCAGTCAGTCTAAAAGTAGAGCCATGCTCTAAGCAGTGAGTTGGCCATTTACTCTTCTTATCCCCAAAGCAGCCCTCCTGTCTGTCTCCTGCTGTACCTACATCCCTTAGTGAGTAGACTCTCCTCCCTATTTGTCCCCTGCAGAGATGCTGCCCCCTCCTCCATAGGCCGGAGGGATCAGGAGCAATGGGGACAGGGGTCCTCTCATCTCTACTGTTGCTGCTACACTTGGTGACAATTGGAGATGCTGACATGAAGGGACATTTTGACCCCGGTGAGGAGACTGAATCTTGGGTCCCTGAGGAATAGAGCTTGGGAGTCAGAAAGGTGGGGGAATGCTGACCCATCCTGTGCCTGTGTCCTTCAGCCAAGTGCCGCTATGCCCTGGGCATGCAGGACCGCACCATTCCCGACAGTGACATCTCCGTGTCCAGCTCCTGGTCGGACTCCACCGCTGCCCGCCATAGCAGGTAACTGATTCTGGGAGTTGCCTTGAAGGAGCTCTTTAATGGACCCCTGTGTGCTCTTCCAGCCCCTTTGCACAGGCCAAGGGGCTTTTGAGAAGGCCGGGGGCCACTGAGATCTATGTAGTGGGAAGAACAGGGTTTAAATAGACCCACGACCAGGCTGGCAATGTGACTCAGTTAGGGTACTCAGCTAATATGAAGCTCTGTCTGTATTCAGCACCCCATAAATGGTCGAGGTGTCAGATGCTATGATCCCATCACTCAGGAAGCAAAAGCAGGAAGAACAGAAGTTCAAAGTTACATAGCAGAGGCCAGCCTGAGATACAAGTCACATTGTCTCAAAAATAAAAGAGACCTGGGGTCAAGTGTTGCCCTGATCTCCTTTTTCCTCCCAGGCTGGAGAGCAGTGATGGAGATGGGGCATGGTGTCCTGCAGGGCCTGTATTCCCCAAAGAAGAGGAATACCTGCAGGTGGACCTTCGGAGGCTGCATCTGGTGGCTCTGGTGGGCACACAGGGCCGCCATGCTGGGGGCCTGGGTAAAGAGTTCTCCCGCAGCTACCGGTTACGATACTCCCGAGATGGCCGCCGCTGGATGGACTGGAAGGACCGCTGGGGTCAGGAGGTGAGGCTGGGGAGGGAAGGTACCTGGGAAGGACACATTCTTCTTTTTGCCATGCTCTAAACAGCATCTGCCACGGCCCATGTGCTAGCATCTCCAGCTCCAGACTCCACCAGGAGCATCACACAGTGTTGCCAGCCTGGCCGCCTCTTAATATCCTGTGCCAGTCTCAAATTCACCACTGACCTCTGTAGTGGATTAGTCCCAGATCCGTTCCTTTTTCTCTTCCTTCCTTCCTTCCTTCTTTCTTTTCTTTTCTTTTCTTTTCTTTTCTTTTTTTCTTTTTTTTTTTTTTTTGGTTTTGTTTTGTTTTTCTTTTTTGAGACAGGATTTCTCTGTAGCTTTGGAGCCTGTCCTGGCACTAGCTCTGTAGACCAGGCTGACCTTGAACTCACAGAGATTTGCCTGCCTCTGCCTCCTGAATGCTGGGATTAAAGGCACCGCCATCACCGAGCCCCTGACCCTTTTTCTTGTTCTCAGCTTGGGGAAATTTAATCCCTGTCCCCATCTCATGACCACAAACTGGAATGGTGTTGGTGGCTCACTCAAGCTCTCAGCTCCTCTCTGTGCCCACCTTTGTGGCATTTCCTGAATCCCGTCACTCCATCTCACCCCCACCCCCAGCTCTAAGCCATGTATTTTTTCATATAGCTGGGATGAAGTCGAAACCATTCAGCCTGCTTCTGTCCCTTTCTGACCGCTACCTATCAAACCTCTTCCTCTGGGCTACAAACTACACACCCAGCTCTCAGCCTAGCACTGGCTTTGGCTCTATCAGAAAACAAAAACAAAAACAAAAAACCCCAATTCTTTGACTGAGTTCAAAGCCTTTATTTAACCCAGTTCCAGCCCTAGGAGGTCTTGCACCACCCCCCTGTCTCTGCAAGCACTGCATTTGTGTGTGCAAAGCCACACCCATGCACATACACTGTGCCATCCCGCCTTTATTGCTGTGTGTGGAACCAGCCAGGTCCTTCCCCACAGTCCATACACTTGCTGCTCTCTGTGCCTGGCAAGCCCTTCCCCCAGACACCAGATGCTCCCACTCACTCCATCCAGTTCTCCCTGGAGATATCACCTCCTGCAGACCTTGGTCTGGACACCCACCTCTGCCCCACACGCTGCCTCTTGTTCCGCACAGCTGCCCTGTGATGAGGGGTTGACTTCATCACTGAGATCATGTCTGGTCCAGAGTGGGCACGTGGTCAGCTGTTGGATTGAACAGAGGGACTGGGGTGAAGCAGGCAAGGATATTGAGATAGGATTCTGTGTAAGAGTCCAGCAGCACAAATGCTTTGGAGACACATGGAGGCAGGCAGGGGTAGAGGGTAGGCGAGGCATGGCTGAGGACAGACCTCCAGAGCTGCCAGAGGCATCAGTGGCCACTGCTACATAACCTCCTTTTAAAATGCCCAGCTGCATCCCCCAGTACTGCGTGCTCAGTGTTGCCCTTTGCCAGCCTTTCGGTGGCCCCTGTAGGCTGAGCCAGGGAGCAGCTTAAGGCTGGGAGCTAAGGTCTGATCTGCAGCCCTACCCACCTAGCCACCCTTTTTTTCCTGGCCCACAGGTGATTTCGGGTAACGAGGATCCTGGTGGAGTGGTGCTGAAGGACCTTGGGCCCCCCATGGTGGCCCGGCTGGTCCGCTTCTACCCCCGGGCTGACCGAGTCATGAGTGTCTGTCTGCGGGTGGAACTCTATGGCTGCCTCTGGCGGGGTGAGTAGGTCAGCCCCACAAGAACCTCTTTCCAGTCCTGGAAGCAGGAAATTGAGACTGAGGAGGGGCATCAGATGTCCTTTTCTGTCAGGAAGCTGTCACTGACTGAGGAGAGAGCAGACTAGACAGTGTTGCCTTCTCTACACCAGTAAGAAAGGTCTGAAATTGCTCAGGCTGGATGCCTCCCTCTAACTCCCCTCTTTCCGCCCTCCCAGATGGACTCCTGTCGTACACAGCCCCTGTGGGGCAGACCATGTACTTATCTGAGGTGGTGCATCTCAATGATTCCACCTATGATGGATACACTGCTGGCGGGTAAGGGGGTGACCTGCACAGAGCTTGGGATGGGAGAAGGCCTGTGCATATGTGTGTGGTATGTGTTGTGTGTGCGCATGTGTATGTATGTGTGTATGGTATGTAATATGTGTGTGTGTGTGCATGTGTGTGTATCTGGGTGATGTGTGTATATGTGGTGTGTGTGGGTGTGGTATGTATGTGGTATGTGTGTGTATGGTATGTACTGTGGATGTGTGGTATGTGGTGTGGGGGGATGTGGTGTGTGTGTGTGTGTGTGTCTGTGGTATGTGGTGTGTGTAAGGGGATGTGGTATGTGTGGTGTTGGGATGTGGTGTGTGTGTGTGGTATGTGTGTGTGGTATGTGATGTATATGGGAGTATGTGGTATGTGGTGTGTGTGTGGTGTAGGGGGGGATGTAGTGTGTCTAAGTGTGTGTACGTGGTATATTGTGTGTGGTATGTAGTGTGTGTGTGGTGTGGGGGGGATGTAGTGTGTCTAAGTGTGTGTGTGTGGTATGGTATGTGTGTGGTATGTGGTGTGTGTGTGTGGTATGTGGTATGGTATGTGTGTGATATGTGGTATATGTGTGGTATGTGTGTGGTATGGTATGTGCTATGTGTGTGTGGTATGTGTGGTGTGTGTGGTATGTGGTATGGTATGTGCTATGTGTGTGTGGTATGTATGTGTGGTATGTGGTGTGTGTGGTGTGTGGCATATGTGTGTGGTATGTTATGTGTGTGATATGTGTATGTGGTATGTGTGTGGTGTGGGGGGGATGTGGTATGTCTAAGTGTATGTATGTGGTATGTGGTATATTGTGTGTGGTATGTGGTGTATATATGTGTGTGTGTGCGCACACATGTGCACATGCGTGCATGTGAGGTGATGTGGAGCAGGAAGTGGCCTGGGCAGTGAAATGAAAGGACAGGCCTGGAATGCAGGATAGTAAGGTGAGCACTAGCCCAAGTGGCACGTTGTTTGGATTAGAAAGAGGCACCCCATGTCCAGACAAGAATCACCTTGTACAAAAACCTGCAGGGCATCCAGAACTCCTGTAACCCCAGCTCTTGGGAGGTAGAGGCAGTAGGATCAGGGCCTTCAGTTCACCCTTGCTACATAGCAAGTTATAGGCCAGCCAGACTCCCGAATCCCCTATCTAAAAACAAAACGAGACAATACCCCCAGCTAAGACTATCTGTTGGACTTGTCAAATTAAACACATACACTATAGACTGAACCGTGTGCCTTCACCGTGGCACTTCTGCGTGGCATGTACCTCATGGAGAATACCTTGTGGTAGTCTGGGGTATGATGCACATAAGAGAGGAGAGAGTTGCATGATGTTGTGATAGACTGGGAAAGGAGAGTGGGTGAGAATCAGGCTATTCCGTCCACCGCTGGGGGTGTGCCTGCAAGACCTGCATGGTGTCTGTCATCTTCCCTCTGAACAGTCCTTTCCTTGCCTCCAATCAGGCTGCAGTATGGCGGTCTGGGCCAACTGGCAGATGGCGTGGTGGGTCTGGATGACTTCAGGCAGAGCCAGGAGCTGCGGGTCTGGCCAGGCTATGACTATGTGGGATGGAGCAACCACAGCTTCCCCAGTGGCTACGTGGAGATGGAGTTTGAGTTTGACCGGCTAAGGACTTTCCAGACCATGCAGGTGAGTGAGCTCCGCCCTCCGGAGGGTACCAGTGCCAGAGGAGGTGCTGCTGCGGGGTTTCCTGCCCTTGAATCAGTGTCCCTTCTCCTTCCCTCAGGTCCATTGTAACAACATGCACACTCTGGGAGCCCGCCTGCCAGGAGGTGTGGAATGCCGATTTAAAAGAGGCCCTGCCATGGCCTGGGAGGGAGAGCCTGTGCGCCATGCCTTGGGGGGCAGCCTTGGAGACCCCAGAGCCAGGGCCATCTCAGTGCCTCTGGGTGGCCGCGTGGGCCGCTTCCTGCAGTGCCGATTCCTCTTTGCGGGACCCTGGTTACTCTTCAGCGAAATCTCTTTCATCTCGAGTAAGCCCCAGAGTGTGCCTGGCATCATCCCTGCATATGGATCCCTGGTATTATGTCGCCTGTCACCTGTGAGATTTCTCAAACTAGGGCAGAACACTCAGCCCCCAAACCTTCACAGAGTCTTTTTCGTTGTTGTTGTTGTTTTGGTGTTTTATAGATTCTTTTTTATCTTATTGTTTTGTGTTATTCAAAGTCTCACCATGTAGTCCTGGCTGGCATGCAGGCAGGGCTGGCATTAAAAGCATGTGCTACCACACCCAGGTAGATTCTTGTTTTAATTTAACTTTTAAAGATTCTTTATTTAAAAAAAAATTTTTTTTTTTTTTGGAGACAGGTCTAATAGTGTCATGTGGACCAGCCTAAAACTTGTGATCCCCCTGCCTCAGCTTCACACACATTAGATTATAGATGTGTAGGATCCCTGTTGTCTCCACATCCTTTGTGAGTCCCTCATTTCTGATCTATCCTGAGTAAGAGTGACAGAAGTTCTGGTTAAGCTTGAAAGACTTCTGTCTAGTTGAGAAAGAACATCTGCTCTAAGCCTGCAGATCCATGAGGCCCTCCCTGAGTTCTCCCCTTCCCCTTAGCCAGGGACTTCCAGAATGCTGTACCAATTGGCTTGTTCTGATTCGTTTCCTAGCCACCATGTCCCCTCAGTTCCCTCTGTCTCAAGTCTCATGCACCTGTGTGTGTCCCCGCGGGTCCCTTGCTCTGACTCTGTTCCTCTCTTTGCTTTCTTCTTTCCAGATGTGGTGAACGACTCTTCTGACACCTACCCACCCGCCCCCTGGTGGCCGCCTGGTCCACCTCCTACCAACTTCAGCAGCTTTGGTGAGCAGTCCTTGGGCACAGTTCCTCCGGGGTCTCCCCCTCAGGTGCGGCAGGACACCTGCTGTGGTGCTGACCATTCCCCTCTGTCAGAGCTGGAACCCCGGGGTCAACAGCCAGTGGCCAAGGCGGAGGGGAGCCCAACTGCCATCCTCATCGGCTGTCTGGTGGCCATTATCCTGCTGCTGCTGCTCATCATCGCGCTCATGCTCTGGAGGTTGCACTGGCGCCGGCTGCTCAGCAAGGTGGGCGGGGCTTTGTGTTTGTGGGCGGGGTTCTGTGGGGTTGGGGATGGGAGCTCAGTCGGGCCAGGTAGGATCTATAGACCACTCTCAAGAGCGAGCATGGGGCCTGGAGAGATGGTTCAGAGGTTAAGAACACTGGTTGCTCTTCCAGAGGACCTGAGTTCAATTTCCGGCAACCACATGGTGGCTCACAACCACCTGTAATGAGATCTGGTGCCCTCTTCTGGCCTGTAGGCATACATGCAGGCAGAACACTGTATACACAATAAATAAGTAAATCTTAAAAAAAAAAAAAAAAAAAAAAAAAAAGGAGCAAGCATGGTGTGTGAGAGGAAGACCACCAGAGCCAGGGAGGAGCAAGAGCAGAGCAAGTCCTTGGAGGGTGCCCTCAAAGAGGCAGGGCCCATCCAGTGTACGATGTAGCAGGTGGCCGACCAGCCCTTGGGGAGGGGCCGGGAGAACAAATCTCCTTGCCTCACTTTGTGTCCTCCAGCCAAGCTTTGTCCATCTGGGCCCCTCTAACCAAAGCCCAACCAACCTGTTGGTAGCGAAAACTGGAGAAGAGTGAGAGAAGGGGGCGAGAGGCGGGCGTCTGCTCTCCGTGTGCCCTGGACCCCCATGAGTGAGAAAAGGGGGCGAGAGGCGGGCGTCTGCTCTCCGTGTGCCCTGGACCCCCATGTCTGGAAGGGTGATGTCCTATAGCGTGACATCAGGGAAGCAGGGTTGCCATGAGGAGAGAAAAGACTGACTCTGATTCGAGCACCCAGGAAGCCATGTAAGCAGTGGTTCAGTTAATGTTATCTAATCCCATTACAAGGCTGAGCGCCGGGTGTTGGAGGAGGAGCTGACGGTTCACCTCTCTGTCCCTGGGGATACCATCCTCATCAACAACCGCCCAGGGCCTCGAGAGCCACCCCCTTACCAGGAGCCCCGGCCTCGGGGGACTCCACCCCGTTCTGCACCCTGCGTCCCCAATGGCTCTGGTAAGGCCTGCCTTGTCCTCTGCCTGTTCTTTTTACTGTCTATACTCTGTTTGAGTTCATTGTCTTATTTCTATGTACCTCCATACAGTCTCCCCCAAGGTTTTCCTGTGTATTACCCAGAATGCTGGTGGTCCCACCCTGTCATTGTGTCATAGACTTCTGTTGTACCCTCTTGTCTCCTTACCCCTTGACATTTGTTCCTTCCTTGCATCCATCTATCCATCCATCCTTCCATCCATCCACCCATCCTCACACACCTAATCTGCCATGCATCTGTCTTGGTCCATTTATCCACTCATCTATCCACTCATCCATCCACCCATCTATATTCATAAACCCATTTGTCTCTCTAGCATCTAGCACTCAGACAGCAGTTCTAGCACTTACCCATCATCCACTCTTCCATCCATATATATCCATCATCCATTCTGCTTTCCATTACCCTTGAGGGCCTGCACTTTCAGCCCCATAAGCCCCAGTCTTGCCTGATTCCAGGTCTCCCTGTCTGTCTAGCCTTGAGTCTCATCCCTTCCCGGTGTCTCCCCCCCTCCTTCTCCCGACAGCGTTGCTGCTCTCCAATCCGGCCTACCGCCTCCTTCTGGCCACTTACGCCCGTCCCCCTCGAGGCCCGGGCCCCCCCACACCCGCCTGGGCCAAACCCACCAACACCCAGGGTAAGCCCCTCTGCTGCTGGGCTCTGCGGGCTCCCGTACCTCTACTGGGCAGGGAAGAGCCCTCACACCTTGCACTGTCCACTTTTCCACTGTGGCCTTTTCTTCGCTCTCCTGAGCCCCCCATCTGGAAGCTCTGCCACCCCTGGATTCACGAGGAAGGCTACTGGTCCTAGCTCTGTCCCTCCTCTCACACTGCTCTCCAGAGCCACTGAGGACACTGCTATAGTGCCGCTCTTCTGTAACTCCTCCTTTATTCTCCCCTCTCTCTAGAGCTGCGAGGAGGAGGGCCTCACCCTGGGCGCTTGTCCTCTCCCCCCTGTGTCCTCTCTCCGCAGTCCCAGAGGTGAAGGCTCATGCCGCCCCTCCTGTCTGCTCCCTTTCCTCTGTGTTGCTTTCTCATTGTGGCCCTAACCCCAGGGCCTGGAGGGGACAGCTCTGCCTTCCTCCTGTCCATAAACATCTTGTCTTAGGGGCCTGTGAGGACCTGTCACCCTCTCCCCTCAATGTGTGCCCTGTCTCTGCCTGTCTTTGAGCTTGGCGTGTTTGGGATTGGCAGGGAGGAACTGGGCTGACAGCAGTGGGAGCTGGTGGTCAGTGGGATGAGGGATTGGAATACAGAAGAGACTCATGGCTTGGGCCCGCTTCAGATGCTGGGTGGAGGAGGGTGGAGTTTCTCTTCCAACCCAGGCTTACCTAGTGGTTGGGGTTGTGCTAGGAGACCCCAGAGGGTGAAATTTTCTGGTACCTTCTGCTTAACTGTCTGTGCTACCTTGAAACCCTTTGGGTGTGTGTCTTGATTCTCACACCTGCCTTCTCTGGTTTGAGGCTGGCAGCTGGGACCTAGGGGACGTAGAAGCAGGGGCTTCTGGGAGATTGGGGCATGAAGAATCGTGCTGCTCAGAGCTGCTCCTGATGCCTCATCCTGTCTTCTCTCCCCTCACCTCTCCAGCCTGCAGTGGGGACTATATGGAACCTGAGAAGCCAGGCGCCCCTCTGCTGCCCCCACCTCCCCAGAACAGCGTTCCCCATTATGCCGAGGCTGACATTGTCACCCTGCAGGGCGTCACTGGGGGCAACACCTATGCTGTGCCCGCTCTGCCCCCAGGGGCGGTTGGGGATGGGCCCCCCCGAGTGGATTTCCCTCGGTCACGGCTCCGCTTCAAGGAGAAGCTCGGCGAGGGCCAATTTGGGGAGGTAAGGAGGATGCCTGCCCAGCTTTGACTGTGTCTAGCCAGACTAAGGCTTTAAGGCCATGCTTGCATGCTTCCTTGGCTGGACTACTTGTCATTTGTGCTGTGACATCCCATCTGACACTGTGGCCTTGGTGGACCTTGTGCCCTAGTGCATGGCCTTCATTCTCCAGGTGCACCTGTGTGAAGTAGAGAATCCTCAAGATCTGGTCAGTAGTGACTTCCCTATCAGTGTGCACAAGGGACAGCCCTTGCTGGTAGCAGTGAAAATCCTCCGGCCAGATGCCACCAAAAATGCCAGGTGAGACCCATGGTGGCAATAGTGATACAGATGCCAGTGCAAAAGGGGAGGTCACACGGGGTGCCTACATGCACCTACAGGCAACTAACAGCTTCTGAGAGAGGCAGAGTTAATCTTCCCCAGAGACCAGCCCCCAAATGCCTATTCAATCCCAAGTGGTCAGCCTTAAAAGCTACACATACAAGCAACACTAAATGGATCCAGAGTGCATTTATAGATTTAGTCACACACATACATATAACAATAATAATTAAAGAACGAGAGGCCATAGATTTGAAAGAGAGTGAGGTGGGGGTACACGAAGGAGGTTGGAGAGAGGAAAGGGAGGGGGAAACAATGTCATCATTAATTAAATTTTAAATATAATTTAAAAAATGCTAGGTAATGTCTAGAGATGAAAGGGGGGGGGGGCGTCTAGAAAGGGGCCATGAAGGTCAGGGAGCAGCCCAGCCTGGTGTCTGGGAGGGAGACCCTTGGGAGAGAGAAGGAAGATACACTGCCATGGCACTTGTGCAGCCTTCTCCCTGCTTCTCCAGGAACGATTTCCTGAAGGAGGTAAAGATCATGTCTCGGCTAAAGGACCCGAACATCATCCGGCTGCTGGGCGTGTGCGTGCAGGATGACCCCCTCTGCATGATTACAGACTACATGGAGAATGGTGACCTCAACCAGTTCCTTAGTGCCCACCAGCTGGAAAACAAGGCAGCTCAGGGGGTTCCTGGGGACAGAGAGTCTGACCAGGGGCCCACAATCAGGTACCCGCTCACAGAAGCAGAGACTTCCTAAGGGCACCCCAAGTGGGCCTCCTGACCTTCACTAAGCAAGGGAGAGAGGAGGGGAGCATTGGGTGGGGATGGGCAGGTAAACATCCCAGAGGGACCTAAGATGAGGAATTCATGTCCATGGTCATACATGAACAAGGCCAGAAAAGCTGAGATCTTAGGAGGAGCAGGTGCAGAGGCTTGGAGCTTCCATGAATCCCCCTTGCCCTGGCCTAACAAAGCACAAACTGCTTGGGACTGGGTGGATGGAGTAGGACCTGCCCCATTCCGAACCTCTTCCCTACCTGGGTCAGGAGCAACCTTTCCAGTGGTTGAGGTGTGGGCTTCCCTCCCTCTCCCAAACAGAAATATGTAGAGTGCGGAGGGGAGGCTTCTGGAATGCCATGTGACCTTCTCTTTGCCTCCTTCACTCAGCTACCCTATGCTTTTGCACGTGGGAGCCCAGATCGCCTCCGGCATGCGTTATCTGGCCACACTTAATTTTGTTCATCGGGACCTGGCCACCAGGAACTGCTTGGTTGGGGAAAATTTCACCATCAAAATTGCTGACTTTGGCATGAGCCGGAACCTCTATGCTGGGGATTATTACCGTGTACAGGGCCGGGCAGTGCTGCCTATCCGGTGGATGGCCTGGGAGTGCATCCTTATGGTGAGCAGCTGGGAGGGGACACTGGCTGCCCTCTGCCAGTTCTGTGGCTCCCCAACCAGCCATTTGCCTTTCTGGGGCTGCATCTTCTCATTTGGAAGTCAAGGGACTGGGAAAAGAAGGAAGAATAGTGCATGGGAAAAGGGATCCAGGGGCCAAGAGTGGGCTGGAGGAGTTAGAGTTGGAAACTGGAGGTAGAAGGGGTTGGAGTAGGGTAGAGGCTCATGACCAGCAGGTAGGAGGCTGGCAGAGAAAGATGGGGTCAGAGTAGGGAGAGGAGGAGGCAGGAACAGAGGGTCAGGTAGAAGGACAGTCCAGTGTGAGAATGGATAGACCTGGGTCTACCCTGTCTGAGGTCTTTCTCTGACTTTCTTGCACTCTTGTGTCGCAGGGGAAGTTCACGACTGCAAGTGACGTGTGGGCCTTTGGAGTGACCCTATGGGAGGTGCTGATGCTCTGCCGGTCCCAGCCCTTTGGGCAGCTTACCGACGAGCAGGTCATCGAGAACGCCGGGGAGTTCTTCAGGGACCAGGGCCGGCAGGTCAGAGCTGAGGGAGGGGATGCGGCTTGTGGTAGAGGCCAGGAGGGGCAGACCATGTGGTGACAGAGACTAAAGGCACCTGTCCCTGCCTCTCATTCACATGGTATTCCGCAGGTATACTTGTCCCGGCCACCGGCCTGCCCACAGACCCTCTATGAGCTGATGCTTCGGTGCTGGAGCCGGGAGCCCGATCAGCGGCCGCCCTTTGCTCAGCTTCATCGGTTCCTGGCAGATGATGCGCTCAACACAGTGTAAACTCAGGACCTTGCAGGCCTTCACCATTGGGAGGCACTCGGGGGAAGCTGGACACGAAAGTGAGAGAAGCCTATGGCACCCCACCCCACCCCACCCTGACTTGCTATTCCCAAGAGGCAGCGTTTCTGCAGGTGGGCTGGGCCTGCCCAAGGAGCTGAAGCCTCTGTCACTGGATACACACTCCCTTCCTGTTCTTCCTTCCTCCTCCTGAGCACCACCCACCCAGCTGGCCCTGTGGTTGGGATCCTGCCTGACTTCTTCCAGCCATCCCCTGGGGAAGGATGGGGCCAATGGAGGGCACACACTGGACAAGGCCCACTGGAGTACCTGGGCCCCACTGGACAACACTGGTTTCTGGGGAGGTGGTTGTGCCTCCAGCCTCCTTCCTGTCACACACTGGACACTGCCCACTGAGAAACTGGGGGGGGGGGCACGAGGTGGACAAAGAAGCCTAACCCCTACAGTGGTCCTCAGCCCTGGCTTCCTTCTGTTCTGCCCCTGACACACTGGACCTGGGGGTGATCCCTGCCTCGATCCTCGGTCACACACTCCTCCTTCCCACCCGCTGTGCTGCAGCTAGAACTTGTCAAAGCCTGTATGTTTCTGTGGACTAAATACTAGGATGGGGGACAGGGATCAATAGCCCAAGGCTGGGGGTTGGGAATCTCTATTGTAGCTACCACATTGGTTTTTCTATAATCACGTGGGTTTGTACATTTTTTGGGGGGAGAGACACAGATTTTTACACTAATATATGGACTTAGCTTGAGGCAATTTTAATCTCCTGCATTAGGCAGGTAATAATAAACATTGAGTTTTTCCACAACTGTGGGTGCATTTCCTTGGGGTTTGGGTAATGTCTGTCTACTCCCCTCACTCCCAGCCCACTATCTTCCCTTTCCCCAGCCCATGCCCCACATCCTGCCTGTGTATTCCAGCACTGGTCTGTTGTCATGTAGTTGCACCATGAGGGCCCTGTTTACTCGGATGCTCTGCAGGGAGAATATAGATAGTGGTGTCCGTTGGGGGCTAGAGAGATAGCTCAGTGGTTAAGAGTGCTGGCTGCTCTTCCAGAGGACCTGGGTTTAATCCCCAACAATCACATTACAGCTCACAACTGTCTGTAACTTCAGTTCCCCAGGGGTTTGACACCCTCGTAAAGAGGCAAAACACCAATGCACACAAAATTAATAAATAATTAAAAGCAAATAAATAAGTAGTGGTGGCTAGTCAACAGGTACCTTGGAAGCCACTAGGAGCTTCGCTCTCATTTGTCATAGAGAGCAGTGCTAGATTTTGGTTTGAGGTTATCAACAATAAAGTGATTTCTTTTCCTTGTCCGAATCCTAGAATCCCAGGGGCTGGGGAGACACGGGCGACCTCTGGGTTAGGTTTTGAAAGCATTACATGTCTCTTGGGTCTGAGCTGTCTGGTGGAAGCCACAAATATGAGCCAGGATTGTCTCGGGCCTACAGGGACAAGCTGCAGCCACTGTGGAAGCCTAGTTGTAGTCTTAATTGCAGGTTTTGAGAAAGCATAGTCATTCCTGAGAAATAAGGACCCTGGGGTTTTGACTGACGATATTCACAAAGTGAACCGAGTGGATAATGAGAGGACAACAGTAAAGCTAATTTAATCTGAGGTTGAATTACTGGGCTCTCAGGGCCCAGGTCACAAATCTGACAGTCTCGTTAAAGCTATGGAGGGCAGACTACTGCCTTAAGATTAAGACAGACATTGATGGGTTAGAGTTCAGAGGTCAGACTTTAGAATAATAGGCAATGGAATTCCTGGCAGGGAGCCATAGCTCCCAGAGCTCTGTGCCCAGACTTGCTCTAAGTAAGCTTTAGAATTATGTAACTCTAGGTTCCTGTGGAGCTCAGTCTGGCATGTCCAAACCTGCCCCTCTCCCACAGCGGCAACAGCAGCCACTCTGATGATCCACCAGAGTCATTGTTGATCCTTCTTGAGGCCAAACCCAGGCCAGCACAAATCTCATAGGTCTGCCTGGCAGATCTTTGTTCTTCCTTGACATTTCAACCGCCCTGGTACATGCCACAACACTGACATCTAGCTAGTCACCCAGGACTGCTTCTGTCGCTCTCCAGCTTGTTTTTAGTTCTGCAACCACAGTGACCTTTGTTGGAGGCTAGCTCTTATAGTCTTAAATGGCCCAGACTTGTCTCAAATTTGCTGTGAAACAGAGAATAGCCTGGGAGTGATGCCTCTGCCTTTACCTCCCAGGTGCTGGAACTGCAGGCACACAGCACCACCACACCAGGTCCTCTAGCTTGCATTTTAGAAATTATTACATTCATTTATTTTGTGTGCATGAATGTTCATGGAGATGTGTATGCAGGTGCCACAGTGTGTGTGTGTGTGTGTGTGTGTGTGAGAGAGAGAGAGAGAGAGAGAGAGAGAGAGAGGGAGAGAGAGAGAGAGAGAGAGAGAGAAGCTGCAGGAATTGGTTCTCTAGTTCTATCATGTTGGTGGTCTTGGGTATAAAACTCAGGTGTGGCAGCAACTGCCTTCAGTGCTGAGCCATTTCACCATCCCCTTTAAAGTGCCTTTTATTACATTTTGCTTATTTTATGTGTATATATGTGTATTTTATATGGTGACGATGATGGTTACAATGCTGGGGGTCGATCCCAGGGTCTTGTACACGCTAAGCAAACACTCTACCACTGAGCTATACTCCTACTCCCTTTTCCAGATCTTTCTGTTGTTTTGTTCAGGTGGGGTTTCACCTAGTAGCCAATACTGGCCTGACTCCCTATGTAGCAGACTGTCTTTGAACACAGAGATCTGTGGAACTCTGCCTCCTGAGTTCAGGAATTAAAGGTGTGTGCCACCATACCTGGCTGTTTTTTGCTAGTAGGATCTCACTACTAACAATCCTCCTGCCTTAGTCTCCTGAATGCTTATATTTGAAGTGTTTTCCACCAACTCCTTTTCTGATTGATCTTTTTAGAACAAAAGCTTGCCCAAGGCTGGCTGTCCTGTCCAGTGTCAGGAGCAGTCTTTGTGGGGCTGCAATGGGAGCCAGCCGAGTGGCCCCAAGTCTGTACCTGAGTGGGGAGTGTGGATGAGGGAAAGTCTAGTTATAGATAGATAATAAAGAAAGACAGAGAGACAGAATAAAGGTCAGGACGGCAGATCAATCAATACTGAAATGCCACGAGTTTGTTTTTCACCACTTTAACTAAAAAGTGGAACACAGTATCATGTGTATGGAACAGACTTTTCTTCCATTCTCATTCTAAGGGTTCAGTAACCACACCTTAGCTCTAACTTCTTCCCTAGCCTTGAGGTCAGGAGTACCTATACCTCAGATCCAATTTCTCCTTCCTTAGCCTTGACAGTCAAAGGTAGCCACACCTCAGATTCAGGTCTGTTGTTATTTAGACTAAGATGGCTGAAATATCCTTCTGTAGTCACACCTTGACCTTTAGGTCTTGTGATTTGCTGACAGCTTTGAACTCTCTGTCCTTGTGCCAAGATGGAGTTCAGTCATCTTTATGGGCACCCACAGAGTCCAGCACACTCTTCTGCATATACACTGTCCTTTCAGTTTCCCCGAGGTCACAGACCCCCTGGCATGTGGCCTCTGCCATGTGCTTTTGTTCTGGAACAGTGTTCTCTGTTTTTTTGTTTGTTTGTTTGTTTGTTTTTTTTTGTGTGTGTGTGTGTGTGTGTGTGTGTTGCTAGCCCTTCAGCAATCTTCAGGTCAGATCTTTGTTCCCTTGTATGCCCTATTTCACATGTATTTGTGTATTTGTCTCTGTGACATGTTTCCTCAACTGTGAGATTGTAAGCTGCAAAACAGCCAATTTAAGGAACAAAGGGCTTAATTCATTAGGGAATCATCAGGCTCTCTTTCTCTCTTGCTCTCTCTCTCTCATTCTTTCTCTCTCTCTCTCATTCTTTCTCTCTCTCTCTCTCTCTCTCTCTCTCTCTTTCTCTCTCTCTTTGAAAACAGATCCAAGATCTAAGTCTGTGCTCCATGTGACCTTATTAGGCAATGCTGCCTTCTCTAACTGAAAATTTCCAAGCAGAGTCAAGTTGAACCACCCCCTCCATGGCTTTCACCTTATCCATCGAGGCAGGGTTTCCACTCACCCAGAGTTCTATGATAGGGATAGTTTCCTTGAAAGCTGCTCTGGGGATGCTCTTAGTCATACAGGTGGGTGTGGGTTCCCGGGGTCTGAACTCTGACCCTTAAACCTGCACCGAGTTGCTTTGGTCACTAAATCACCTCCCCAGACTACCTTCCCATTTTATATACATATCAAAGTTTCTTATGGGCTATTCAAGCCACTTTGTAATTTGCATTTCTTCCTCTGCTGAAGGGTCATGTGCAGTTCAAGGCCCTAACATACATACAGCCTTTCCTTTCTCAGGGTTGCCCAGTCTTCCACTTTGTTGGGATGCTTTGTGTTTTATTTAACTGGCCTCTGCCACAGGTATCTCTGCATCTAATCTATTCTATGGGTGAGGATTTCAGGATGATACAACTCTTTATTTCTTTTTTAGGTTTTTCGAGACAGAGTTTCTCTGTAAAATAGCCCTGGCTATCCTGGAATTTGCTTTTGTAGACTGGGCTAGCATTGAACTCACAGAGATCTGCCTGCCTCTACCTCATGTGTTTTGGGTTTAAAGAATTGGATAATGCAATTCTAATGGTGGCTTTTCTGGGTCAAAGAATAACCATATTAAAATTGTTTGTAGAAGCTGGGGTGACAATGCTTGCCATGTAATATCAGCAGTCCAGAAATGGAGGTAGTATGATCAGGAGTTTACAGCTTGCCTTGTTTGTTTGTTTCTTGAGACAGGTTCTCTTTATGGCTGTCTTGCAACTCTCTAGGTAGGACAGCCTGTTTTTCTGTAGCTTTGGAGCTTGTACTAACTAGAACTAACTTTGTAGACAAGGCTGGCATCCAACTTACAGAGATCCATCCACCTGTGTCTGCCTCCCAAGTGCTGGAACTAACAACATGTGCCAACACCTCCCAGCTCAGATTTCTTATTCTTGTTGGGTTTAGTATTCTGTGATGTAAGGATAACAAAATTTAAAATGGGCAGTGGTGGGCACGCCTTTAATCCCAGCACTTGAGAGGCAGAGGCAGGCAGATCTCTGAGTTGAAGGCCAGAGATCTGGTCTATGAACATGTTCCAGGACATCCAGGAAGACACAGGAAACCAAAAGCAAACAAACAAAAACCAGAATTTGCCGCATAAGAATTGGAGAAACTATAGTTGATCTTAGTTGATGTCTTCTTGTTTTGCCTTTCTCTCCAGTAAATTCATAAATCAGAGTAAACAGCAGTTTTCTGTTAAAATTTGTAATGGAGTCTTATAACTACTTGGGAGAGTTGGAAAGGCAGTGGAGGAAGAGATTAAGACTGAGCGTTTAGTTGCCAAATAAGGGCGAACTGGATTGTGTTAATCCTCGCCTCGTGAAAATGCTCTGCGCTGTGCATTATCTCAGTTTCATGGCTAGCATCAAGTTTGAGATCTCTAAATCTAATACACCACCCATGATCTGCCTCAGCGGGCCAATAGGAGGCCTTGGGAGCTCCTCCAGATTGGGTGCCTCCTCCTGGAGGAACAGAGAAGTCGCTTTAGTTGCTAGGAAAAGAAAGATGCGGAACCAAATTATCTGTCTTAGAGTGTTCTTAGGGAATCCAATGAAAAGGGAGCTTCTCTGGGTTGGTCTTCTTGCGGTGCCTTTCGGGAATTGTAGTCAAACCTTCCTCACGGTGCTCCAATGTAAGCAAGGAGACGACTACAATTCCCACCATGCCAAGCGGCAGGCGAGTGCAC